GCAAAGCAAAGGATTTGCTTGAAAAGATTTAATCAAACGTGTTTCGTGGGGGATTAATTGCTGGGGATGACGAGTGCAAGTGGCTGGCTGGTGGATTTGAATGAGAAGTATTGTTCTCAGGCCAGCCTATTGAGTGCCATTTTGACCTGTAGTTTAACTCCTGTCCCACAGTCACTTAAAAGGAGTGAAAATTTCCCCTCTTCATCTGAATGGCGGGATAAATGCATGTACCTGATGAAGAGACTTTTCATTATGGGTGGCTATTAGAACAAAAGAGCTTTGATCCCTCTGCTTCCCTGTTGGGGTGATGGGACCTGGGCATGTTGGTACAGTGGTGACACAGTGGTGACACAGTGCCAGGGGGACCTCAGCTCATGTTTGGCAGCTCAGCTTTCACTCTGCATCCCCTGGTTCAAGCCCCAGCCTTGTTCCTCTTCCAGTTTTTCTGGGCGAGCGCCTCGCGCAGCCTGCGGAGGGACGTGGGAAATTAAAAGCCTGCACGTTGATGATGTTCCTGCAACACCAGATCCTCAGGTTTAATTGAGAGGAAAAAGTAGTTAATTTCCAGCTCGGGCTCTGAGTTTCAGCCTGAATTTCCAGCGTGGGCCCTGGCTTTGAGCCGTGTCCCGTGCACCCTGGTAATGATGCTGGTGTGGGTGTGCAGTGTGCGTGCAGGAGCGGGCGGACACCCTCCTGGTGGGGAGCACTGCCCCAGCATGCCCAGTAAGGTGCCACCAGCATACAGCGATGCAGTGAAATTCCTGGGAGCTCTGCCCCAATTTTTAAGGTTCCTGACTGTCATATTCCAAATCTGCTGGATGGATGCCCTGGGGTGAGGCAGGGAGGAGCTTGCCTGGTGGAGCGGTTTTGGGCCTCCCGCTGGTTGGCTCTCTGTGAATACCTCTGAAAGCTGGGCCTTGAGGCACCGCCTTTTTTCCATCGAGTTGAAGTGTCTCTGCATGAGGCCTCTCCCTGCTGCCCCACACCAGCTGCTGCTCTCCCCAGCTGCTTGGGAAGATGCCACGAGACCCCAGTTTCAGAGGTCGTCATAAAGCGCGCAGCTATTTTTCAGCCTTGCTGTAGAGATGCTGAGCCTGCAGCCATGGGTGAGCTCAGAAGCCATCGTCCCTGCTCGTCCCCAGCGTGGCACTGTTTGGCTTTGGGTGCCACAGCTCTGGGGGGGTGTTGGGAGTGGGTTGGTAGCCTGCAACCAGGAGCCACCCCACGCAGAGGGGGATGCCGGCAGTGCAGCCAGTTTGTCCGTAACCACTGGCATTGACAAAATTGATTTTTGTGCTTTGAGAGCAGTAGGACAGATTTCATCTCTGGTGGGTCTCCTGACACTTTGATACATGGCAGTGCTATCCCTGAATGGAGCTAAATACTCCAGGGCTACTTTCTGACTGGGTGAAGGGATGTATAAAATGAGAACGTATGAGAGAGTATTAACAGAAAGGCACACGTTGATTTACTGATACTGGCTCCCAGCTTTCTAGGTGGATTGATATGCTGGCTGCTGGATCTGGAACAACTTTCTCACTCCTGTACACAAAGGGGCTCCCATGGACTCTTAAAAGTGACTCTTACAAGTTAGCATCTCACCACAGACACTCTGTGAGACCCATTGAAGCCAGAAGTTATACTCAGACCACGTTTGCGGTGTTCATGGAGCAGCAGCAGATGGATCCTACTCAGCATCCTCTTTTCTTTCCCATGGGGCAACTTTAGAGAAGGTTTGGTGGAAGGAGGGGTTGCGTGCTGTCCCAGGGTGAGTTGTCCTCTCCTACATGCTGAGTGTGAGTTGTTTGGGGGATTTCAGTCACTCATACTGAAATGCTGTAAAGGAATCCAGCATCTTTTAGTTTTAAGGCAGTGCTGAGCCACCTCTCCTCAAAAAACATAGGTTGGATGTGTAGAACTCTTGAAAAATGAGCTTGCATCAGGATCTTCTGGCTGGTGAGTGAGGACTGGGAGGGTAGTTGTGGAGCTTTAACAGCAGCATCTTGGCCTCGGCTGGTTTGTGGCGCAGGTGAAAGCCGCGGTGCCGCCACCTTCTTGGTCCTGAAAGCTCTAGAAACTGGAAACCATCAGGGACTGCTTAGGTTGTAACAGCTCGTGGCAGTGGGAGGCCCCTGCTACACTGCCTGTTGTCTTAGAGGTGTCGCTGGCTTTGTTCTGTGAACAGAGCAGGGAAGGGAGCAGGGGGACAAACCTGATGGTGATCACATCTGAAAGCTGCGTCTTGGTTCCCTTAATGTACTAGTGTGCTTGAGAGCTCCATGTTTGTGACTCTCTTCTGTTCAATTGTCTGTTTCAGACAAGGGCTAGCATTTAAAAACAAGTGCTGGAGGGTAGCAGAGGAGGAGGGTTAGGAGGAGGGTTAGTGTCCAGCTCTCTGTCAAAACAACAGGGTTTGCATCTATGGAACACTTTCAGCTCTGTGGCTTGTGCTGCCTTCATTCACAAATGGGTTCAGTCTTTTCCCCAAAGCAGATGGTGTAAAGGCAGATGTGGGCATTAGAGGGAAGAGAAGAGGGAGAGGAGACTGGGAAGAAACCAGTCCCTTCTGGAATTAAATGTGGAATGGATAGGACAGGGCTGGATGGGAAAAGGGCTGGGGGGCTGGCCCTTGGCTTCTGAAGTTCAGTTTGCAGCACGCTTAAACATCCAACAGTAATGATGAGAATGCCATCCAATAATGCTATTAAATACACAAGAACTGAGAACAGGGAAATTACCCAGCTGTAAGAGGCTCACGATGAAGCCACTGTCTGGAATAATTAGCCCTCCCACCCGGTTAGACGCACGGTCCTTGTTTTCCCTGCCCTCTCCATCCCCTTCACTCCAGCTAAAATTGCTCCCCATCCCCACTTCTGCTGGGGTCCATATCTCAGAGCCTGGGGGAGCCTGAGCCTGTCTTTATGCCTCGCCCGCTCGCCGTGGCCCTGCTATACCCCAGAAGAGCTGGAGTGCTACTCCAGCTGTAATTGCCAGGATCAAAGCCGCCTGGGGTGCATTAGCACTGCTGCTGGAGGACAGGCAGCAGGGAGAAAATAAACAGTTTCGGCAGCTCTGGGGACATTTAGCTGTGTTGCAGGCAGTGGGAAAGATTTTGCTGTTGTAAGCTGTGCACTCAGGCTGGGGTGGGGGCACTTTTCCTTTTGCAAGCGATGCTTTAGCTGCAGACACATACAACAAATGCATTTTTAAGGGCTTTTGTCTGTCTGTCTGCTGGAATTGTTTGGACGCTAAGGCACGGCTGTTTTACAAGTATGGCAAACCTAATCCCTTAATAGGTTTATATAGAAGAGTTGTCAGAATGTATCTGTAATGAACAGCAGGCTGGGGGGAGGATGAGTCCAACAGCTGATCTGCAACAAAAATCTTAAAGCATCTTCTCCTTGACATTCCTGTTACTGAGGTCAGGCTGTAATTTATCTGAAGATGGTGACAACTGAGCAGTATCACTGGTAACACGCGGGAGATTGAGACCTCTGGATGTCTGGGCTGATTTCTGCTTGCACTGTCTCTGTCTGGCTGATGAAGATTTGCTGTTCACTCTATCCGTGATCTCTGTGTCCTCCATTAACAAAAAAAAAAGAGAGATAAAAGGTGGAGTGCTGAAAAGTTCCCTCCGTTACACTGACTGCAGGGACAGGAGTGGGGTGCTGCCCTCCTCCCAGCACTGCCATCTGCCCCCTTTCTGGGGTGCCTCTCTGTAAAAGCAGAAGGCAACACGCCTTTACACTATTAAATGTGTGAAGTTCAGTTTAGGTTTGGGGTAGAGGTGTGCTTAGTGTTTTACCTGGAAGAGCTGACCCTGTGATTGAGGTGTAACAAAGGGGGAGTTTGGGTAGGCCTAGACAAACACTTGTTTTAGATCAGAGCTTGTTGGTTGCCACAAAAGAACTATTTTTAAAGACCAGATGCTGCAGGAGTGTGCAGTTAACCCTTCCCACAGCCAGCTGCGACTGCTCCTTGGAGAACATAAGACCCCAGGAACACAGCTGGTTTTCTCTGCACCAGCACAGATACAGGAAAATCATCAGCTCTGAAAGCCTTTGGATACACAGCACCAGATCTTCAGTCAGGATTTGTGTCTGCAAGTACCCTGGAAAGCAACTACTCATCCCTGTAGAACTAACCTTCACACCCTGTATTGATCATTTTGTATACTTCTCCACCCCAATCTTTTCTCTACTTTTTCTCTTTCTAAGGATCTCTGGGCTTGCAGTTCTGCTGTTCTGATTAGAACCTTCTCATTAAACTTGTCAGGTCATTGTTTTAAGTTTCCCCCATAGACCAGATCTTGCTACATTTAATTTTACTTACAGTCTAGTCTCTCACAGCTCCTGTATGGTGAGCACAGCTGTAGCCACAGCCCTGCAGGAGTTTGGTTTTTCTTCTTGCCTTCCCTCCTTCTGCTCCCTATAACGTGCATATTCCATACAAGAAAGAAAAGTCAGAGGTCAAGTTCAGGTGGGATGCACCTATACACATTTTCCCTTGTGTTGCTTCATTTTTCTCTGCTGAAGGTGGCCTCAAATGAAGAACTTAACAGAGGGGAGAAATGAGTGAGTCAGCAGAAAAGGCTCCTGTCGTGTGCAAGTGCCATCAGACACTTCTGCACACAGTGCTTGCTTCTTCAGTGCATTAATCCTGTGGGCTCTGCAGGCTGGATGTTTGTCAATGAAACATTAGATCAGTATACTCCCCATGTGCAGCCAGGCAGATGTGCAGCAGGCAGCCCTGCCTCCTTTCCTCCCTTTTCAGGAAAGATGTGTTCTTTCCCAGCGTGGTGGTGTTTGACATGAACAGCTATAAATCAGTTTGAAGGTAAAACCACATCTCTAACTGATTAGAGGAAAACAGTTAATGGGACATGCAGTAGCTGTGGCAGAAATTCAGATTCAAGATGAGAAACTGAGCAGTGCAAAGCTAAGTCTTCACCAGAAGCAGGGATCAGTGGGAAATTGTCACTCTTGTCTCTTGTTCTGCAGGTCTTAAAGCCCTGGAGGCGTTGCTGAAAGTATTAGTGGAGCTTCAGGATGAGCTGCTTTATCAATACCCAGGCACGAGGCACCTGGTAGATGGCAAACAATCAAAAGCTGAGAGGTAAATATAAAATAAGACAAGAGCTTTCTGAATCCTTGGGTCTCCCAGCTCTCCGACAGAGAGGACCATGCACAGCCTTCCTGGCCATACTCCCTCTCTGCTCTCCTCTCAGGGGCTGCTGTGCCTGGGTGACAGACACTCTGGACAAATGGCCATCTGAATTCCTTCTGCTAGTGTGGGAAGTCTGTTTTGTAGTCTCTCTGGTAATGGAGGCAGGGCTAACCCTGGCTGTAAATACCACCACTATGTGAGAAGAACATGGGTGGTAGTGGAGGGCCATGGAGAACTCACAGATGTTGCCTTAGCGAGGTGTAGGGTGTTCAGTCTGTGTGGTTTTGTTGCAGTGATGAAGAAATCCCCAGCAGTAGTGATGAAGAGCAAGTGGGTAAGGCTCAGGAGAAGAGGAGGAGCCTCCCCAAACGGAAGCTGAGGATGGAGGACTACCCCGAGTTCATAGCCAAGCGCTACGCCGACTTCAGGACCTATCGGAACAAGGTCTTGCAGACGTGGCACGAGAAGACCAAGCTGGCATCTGGCAAGATGGGAAAGGCAAGTCTGCGTTGGCGTGTGCTGATGTGTGTGCTGTTTAGCAGAGAGATTGGTGGAACAAGTTGGTTTGAAGGTTTCATGGATGTTCCAAGTTCAGCTGAGAGTTACAGCAGGAAGAGTCAAATACACAGGTACACGCTTTTCTCCAGCCTTAAAGGAGTTTGCAGAGAAGCTCAGCCCTCAGATGTCAAAGGCAAAAGCTGCTCTCTTTCCTCCTGATCAAAATGAAAAAAAAATATCAGGGGCAAATGGTTTCCCAAGTTTTGGGAAAAAGTCTTGGATAGCATTGATGTTCTCCCAACCAGACATCTCATCATAGCCAGTCTCCAGCAGCAAGTAAGCTCTATGGAAATGCCACTATTGCTTGGTCAACAAGCTGTTCATGTTTTATATCACAACCAGGGGCTTCTGTGGCTCTCCTCCATGAAGTGTGCACTTAAATACAGTGGGTAATCATTGCACCCGAAGATCCAGGGTCTCCTAACATCTGTGAGTTAGTATTAATCATTGAGAAGTTCATCTGAACCAGAACAACAAAGGCATTTTATTAAGTCAGGCGTGAGGTTGCCTCAGGTTGGGGAGGGAGAGAGAGAGGGAGAAACAAATAAAAAATCCTAGCAGAAATCCCTGCGACGAAACCCAAACCCCCTTCTCCTGGAATGCTGTCTGCTTATGCACTGACATGGAAAGATAGAGGAACACTGCTGCCTTGAGGAAAGGCTTTCTGCATTATCTGACACTGGTTGATGTTGTTGCAGGGTTTCGGTGCCTTTGAGCGTTCCATCCTGACTCAGATTGATCATATTCTGATGGACAAAGAGCGATTGCTCCGGCGGACGCAGACCAAGCGCTCGGTGTACACAGTGCTGGGGAAGAAGGAGCCTCAGCCAGCCCCTGAACCTGTGCCTGACAGCTCGGTAAGGCTGTTTTGTTTCTCTAACTCTCCTGTAGCAGCAGTGGAACTCTCTGCAAAACAATTAGCTTGAGCCTTTAGCAGGTAATACTCTTGTTGCTGAGAGATTGATGAAGGAGATAGCTGAGTGTTGATTCCTGGAATGCAGTGGCTAAGCAAGAGGTGTAGACATCTCAATTCCACTTTTATGGTGTTTGCATTGTCTCCTGTGCCAGTTCTTGACAGGGGAAAACAGGGTTCAGGCTGTGCCCCTCCTGTGCTGTAGGAATTGGTGCTCGCTAAATCTGCTTTTGGACACAGAAGCTGCATAACTTTGGTTTTACTCTGGAGTTTAGAGTCTTTAACCCAGAAAGTCACTTCTAAAATCATACTGCATATAACCTACGGAATATGTTAGTAGTAAGTCTGTTATTAATTTAGTATTTAAGAATGAATAAATACTCAATTCTGAGAGATCGTGTAGAATTACTGCACTTGCAAGATATATTTTTGCCACTGCGTTAAAAATATCTGTAGAATTTTGCCAGAAAGACTTTGCACAGTCCTATTTATTTCCCAGTAAAGGTATCATAAATCTATTTTGGCATTGGCAGCGTTTCTGCCTTGCCTTTAAATGCATTCCTAGTCCTTAAAAGCTTGTTACATGGGGAGCTTTTCTCCATTCCCTCATATCTTCGAGTGTGTTTACAAGCTGCTGCACGTGATGTCATCAGAGTTAGGCACAGAAATATGCACGTTTGAGCTTTCAGTATTCCCTTTGTGCTTCTAGGAAGTCCTCCCTCAGTCAGAGTCCAACAGGCACCTGAAGGACATAGATGAGGAGATATTTGATGATGATGACTTCTATCACGAGGTAGGTGATGGTAAATCTGTGTTGGAATTATGGCTCTGCTTGGTTTTTAATACTCCCAGAGCTGCTGTGGTTGGTTCTGTGCTTTAAGTTTCTCTTACCAGTGAAACTCAGTTACCTGTTCTAACATCTAAAATCTCTGTAGATACCTCAGAGGACTTTGCTCTCAACTTTCAGTGTGGGGCTGTGTGAGCTTCAATTTGCATTGTGGATGTAAGCTGAGTGCCATTAGTGGCACTGCTGCACTTGAGTGAGTCGGGGCTGCAGGAGGAGGTCTGTGCCTCTTGTGCTCACTGGTGGACATTGCTACATGAGAGAAGAATTACTGAATTCTGAAAAGGTGACTTCTCTGTGGGTAGAGTCCCATTATGAAAAACAATTCTAGCAGATCCTCAAAAGCACCTGAGTTATTCTCATCTCATCTACCTACGGAATGAAAAAGCTGCAGGGCTTCTCCAGCACCTTCCTTGGAGTTGTGCCAGCTTGGATTTAGGCCAGTTACTCTTTTTATTTGCAAAATTCTTATAAACAAGGAATCTGCACCCAGTGCATGGAGGATGCAGCTTAGGGAAACCTTGTGTTTGTAATTTGTTTAATAAATGACAGTGCCAGCTTCATGAAATACTGAAATTGCCATATACTGGGGAGTGTGATTCACTCCAAGTCCTTCCCCAGTGTACAATAAACTAGTTCTGCTCTGATGACCCACGCAGAGCTGCAACTTGAGGACTAAACAAGTGTCATTATGGCATTAGAAAGGCAGAATTTTCTGATCTGAATATTAGAGTGGCTATTAAAGTGTTAGGGCAGTGGGAGGGAGCTGTTGCCCTGTGACTGTTCCAATAACTGATTTAACCAGAAGCATTAGAATACTTTAAAAATTTGGAGTTTCATGTACAAAGCCAGGACTACAGGTGAATAAAAAGGTGTATTAAACTGGTCATTGTGGTCTGTGTTTTGCAGGTAGGAAATAGAACTTTAATGTTGCCTTTTTTTTTTCCCCCTCCAAGGAGTTTTTCAACACACTTCCAAGCCTACTGCTGTAGATGGCTGAGAAAATTTTTGCAGTAGACTTCATCTGGTGCAGAATTGGGGCAATTTGAATATTTAATGTTTGTGGGGGATCTGCTCAAGGCTGCTGGCCCCAGAGCCAAGGTTGTATTCCTATCTCACTCCTCTCCAGGCTGCATATTTATTGCAAGAGTGGCTCTGCAGCTATTGCTGTGAACTGAGCAGCATCTCATGGGCAGGTGAAGGTGCCAGGCTCTAAGATGGTGATCAGAGGGTCTTGTGCAGTCTTGCTGGCAGCAGTGGCTTGAAGAGGCCAAATCTGTATGGCAGTGAGATAGCAGTGTGGTGTAATTTGGGGTCTAAGTGGACCAGAAGCCCAGCTTTGGGGACTCTGAGGACACAGAAATTAGTACAACAAAATCATAAAGCGGTCAAGGAGAAGTAGCTGTGGTTGACAGTCCATGGACTGTGCAGAGAAGGTGCTTATTGGCTGTGAAATGTTAAATTTTTAGAAGACAAATAGCAGTAGATGAATGGCCCATCTTCCCTTCTAATAACTTTAACTTCCATAAATTGTCACTTCAGTAATATGACTAGTCCCAGCTTAGCTTTTCTCCTCCCTGGTTAATTGGGGTGTTGGGGTTAATCTAAATTAAAACTTAAACTAATAGAGGTCATGGAGGGAAGAGAATCACCTGAGTAAAACAAATGGGTCTGCCAGGCACAAGTGTGTCTTGGCCCCTTCCCAGGAGGGAGGTGGGAGCCGAGTGGGGCAGAGGTGCAGGGTGGGCAGGGTGGAACTCACCCCTCCCCGTGCCAGGGCAGCTGGCAGCACAGCCAGGGGTGGGTGCAGCTTTGGGAACCCCACGGACTCTAAATATGGTGCTGAGGCTTTAATCACTTAGGGCTCCTTGGCAGCGGGCTGCGACAGCTCATCCCAGCCTCGTACATCACCCACGGACATCTGCTGAGCCGCCAGGCAGCCACACATTCATTTTCCTTCCTTGCTTGGGTGTTTTTTCTTTCCACGTCCCTCTCTCTGCCCCCCTTCCACTTTTCCCTCTCCTCCCATTCCCAATGTGCTGCTTGGGTGAGATGCTGTGTGGAGATTACTGGCTGGTTGTGGGGGTGCCAGCCCCTTGCCGGGCACCGCGCATGCCCTGTCCCCTGACCTGCTGGATGTCTTCTCTTGGGTGGGATTTGGCAGAGGTTGGAGCTGAAGCCAATTCAGTGATCAGGCTAAAGAAAATGGCTGTGTGTTTTCTGTGGCCTCCCAATTAAATTGGTTTCATAAAGTGCTTTCATTTATTTGTCAGGGTGGTAAGCTGCAGCTGAACACTGCACTCAGACTGGGCTGAGTGCATGACAGTGGAGCACTGACAGTGCATGGAACATGTCTTCTTTCAGATGGGTCCTGACTGTGCAGCACTTCTCTGTGTGTGTGTGGATGTACATCTATAAATAAAATACAGAAAGGGAGTTGGTTCTTCAGGACTAATCAGCAGCAGCATATCTGGGAGTTGGAGCTGAGGTTGCTCAGAAACTCTCACCTCTGTGCAGTAATACCACAATAAAAATGATATTTACTTGCCATAGCACTTCCTGCATTCAATGGATGCTTTTTTTTCTTGTATTTAAGTTTACATCTGGGCATTTTTTTAGTATGGCTTTCATTTTTCTAAATAACATTTTAAAATTATCAGTTTAATTTGGTTACTGCCTATGGTCTATGAAAGGTAAACATTCAGCTAAAAGAGGACTTTGGAAATCCACTTCCTGTGTATTTTACTGTGAAATTAAGGAAGGAAAAATGAACAAGATCTGATGAATGTGCACGAGTTAATGATAATAGAACAAGTAGCTGTACTGGTTTCTTACAGATTATAATACAAAACTCTTTAATGAATCTGTTTTTCCTGGGGAAAAACAATTTTCTTGTCCAGGTCTTGGTATTCAGTGGAGTTCTCCACGTGGGGCTGGTGGAATTTTAGAATGATTGAGGGGTTAACTCTGTTCTGTCTGTCCATCCTGCTTTGCCTTGTCTCGTATTCTTCACTTGTTTTATAAGCAGTGATATTTTTTATTGTGGTGGCCCATATTGAATGGTAATGTAAAGCTGAGCTGAATAGTGAAATATTTTTATTTGGGTTGCACTGGGTGGGAATAGTTAAGCTGTTTGAGAAGGATCCTCATTACTGACAACAGTGAGAGGCTAGACCCCCATTTCCTTTTCTTTTAAACTCTCCTTCATTCATGGTTTTAAGGGAAGAAAAAGGCTTTTCATTTTTAGAAGTCATATTTATGTAGAATTCATTACAGCTGATATTGCAGCATTAAGACTTAAAATTCCAGTCTGCTACCAGCGAGCTGCTGGTCTGACATGCTACAGTGGAGGTTTTATTATTAGGTTGAAATACTCCTCTAGTAAAGGAGAGAGTGGAAATTGGTTTATTTCCAACAGGAATTAGGTTAGTGTTCATATGCTAAGCGTTCCACTGGTAACAGCTCTTCCCAGAACAAATGTTCATCACTGATGGCAGCAGGTATGCCTAAGGAGAATTAGGAATATATATAATCCCTTTTTGCTTCTGCTCTCCTGCTCCCTCCTGCCCCTGATTTTGGGTGTGTTGTGTGCCATCCCATTTTATAACGACCCACCCTCGTCCGTGGCCGTGCTCAGGGTGTGCTCCAGGGGCTGAGCAGAGCCCCAGTGGATGGGGACATCCAGTGAAACACTGAAGGCTCCAGAGAGAGGTGGCCACAGTTTGCTGGGGCTTGGAGAGGACGAGTCTCCCTCAGCTACTGCCTCAGGCTGGGCTCTGCTCCAGGAGAGCAAGGAAGAAGCTTGCTCCCTTCCTTCTCTTACCCTGGTTGCTTAGGAAAGGAGCTGGTCCTGTAGGAAGTGTTTGATTGTAGGACTTGCAGCTGCCTTCATGGTTGTCCCTTGTGTGTGCCTGCCTGCAAAACAAACTTGCAAGTCTGAATCTCTTGTTAAGACACTTTTAGCTCAGTTGCTTTATCTTCTGAGTTCTGCTTGTGTCCACTTCAGAAGACTTTACCTATGGGGCGAATTCCTCCTCACGTCCCATTCCAGAGGGAATGAAGCAAGTTCCCTGGGCACATACTGGTTTTTTTCTCTCCCAGGTATTTGATAATGCCATAAACAAGTAATTACTAATCCAGTGAACTATTAAAAGTCGATAATGGTGAAGAATAGAGAGAAGGCTGGCTTTCTGACAAGCTGGTTTACCTTAATTAAACTGGTGAATGATTAATATGGACAGCTGATCTTGTGGCTTTAATTAGATGCATTTAGAGTTTTGTGTGAATAAGAGATGTCTCGAACCATCCCACAGGTTAATGGCAATACAATACTCTTATCACAGGCATGTATCTTTCAAATGGCTGGGTAGATGGTTAATAACACGTTTTAAAGCTTGATTTGGAACTTCTCTTGCTGGATTATTACAAAATATGCAAGTCTTAGACAAAACTGAATTTTAACACAATGGTTTTTAGGGTAGAGACTGTCCAGTGAGTTTATCTTGCAGCTTAGGTCTTCTACATCATAAATAGATTGCAGAAAATGAAATTCTTAAAAAAGTATTTCAAAGGTATTTAAAAGGAATATTTGAGCTGCAGTCTGAATTTCCTCTGATGTTGCTAGACACACAAAGGGTGTTGCACTACTGCTCTGAGGGAGCTTGAAAGAGGAAAATAAACAGCCACATCTGGGCAGAATGCAGTGTAAGATGTATGAGTCTTGGACTGGAAGCAACCTTTTCATTATTTATGCTGTTTTAAATAATTCTGTGGTGTGAAAAAGAGGGGAAAAATTCACGTGACTTAACACGTCTCTCCAAGACTAAGGGAGAAAAACATAAATTAGAAAGTATTGAAATGACATTGATAAAATGCAGCTTTGTCAACTTTCTGTTTGAGACTGACTTCACATTTTCACCAGGAAAGAGGGAGAGTGTTTGGTGTTTGTAGTCTTAACTTTACTTGGATTTAACAGATTGTATGTAGCTTCTTTCTTTGTTGTTTTCTACAGTGATTTTGTTAGAAAATAGCTGCTTTTTAAACTGTTAAAAGAGAGACTTCACAATACCACATTTTTTGTATGTGATGTGCCCTGTTGCAGCTCTGGGAGACAGGATGAAGGTAACTCATTCTCCTGGGCATTTGAAAGGAGCCTGCAGATAGCAGAGTGTGGTTAGACCTTCACACCACAACGACTATTTTTCTACTCTCTCTGGTAACAAACATTTAGCTACAAAAGTCCATGTTAGCAATTTGCAATTATTTCAGAGTTCTCACTAAAAATCAGAGTATTTTTTTTTTTAGCCAAGGAGTTGACAGAGTGTTCTAGCAAAGGTATGTGGCTGCTGGTAAACCTGAAGTCTGTATTTCTCCCATTTCTCTCATTATTTCAGGATCCATGGATAGTTGAGTCTGTTTCTGTTGCTTTCAGCAAGTGCCTAAGGTGGCAGAAGTGGCACGAGGTTGTTCTTGGCTGTTGTTCTGCACCGTTGTTTTAAAATGAACATTTTCAGCCCCTTGTTTGATATTATTATCATCACAGGGGGCTTGATGGGACCATGTTGACCTGCCTGTACAGCAGCCAGCACAGTGCTGGGGCTGAGACTGTCTCTCACCTCTCCAGGTGCCTGACTCAAGAATTCAAAGGCAGTGGTGCCACTTGCAAGACAGAGTAGGTGGCTTTGATGCACTGCAGCAGAAGTGACCCGTGCCTTTACTGGCTTTTTTTGAAGGCCATAATAACATCAGAGGAAAACATTCCTTTTGTTCCATTTGTATTTCTAAGCTTTGTAAACTCAACTGTTTCCTGTTATATACTGTAGATCACCTTTTGCTAGGTATTCATTTGAATTGATCTGGGAGGTGTAAGAAGAGGGAGCCTTTGGTCACAAGGCTTATTTCAGCTCTGCTTGGCTCTTTGTCTCAACTGGAAATTCTTAGGGGTCTACAAATCAGAAAGATCAGTGACTGTACTGTTAGAAACACTGATAGATAGTGCATGAAAATGAGACCTAACCTCTAAAATGAAAATTGACCTCTAAAATGAGAAATGAATCTCTATTACCCTCGAACAACACCCTGATGGCATTTCTAAATCCCTCTAATTTTGTACCATGTACTTTGTGTGCATCTCTTTAACTGCTGTAGAGAGGGAGTCCTTTTAATGTGAACTCTTCAGAAAGCACACAACAGTGACTGCAGTGTAAGTTTTAACAGCAGCTCTGGTGTCAGCAGAGGAAGGGGAGTGCTAGCCCCTGTTGAAGCTCTTGCCTTCAGACACGTTCTGCAGGAACACTGCCCTGCTCATTGCTAAATCTTGTGCTAGATTTTAAGCTCTCTCCAGAGAAGGAGACTCCACAACCTCTCTGGGCAGCCTGCTCCAGGATTTTTTTTCCTTCTGCTCAGGTGGAACGCCTGGGTTCCAGTTTGTGCCCATTGCCCCTTGTCCTGTCGCTGGGCACCACTGAGCAGAGTCTGGCCCCAGCCTCTTGCCCCCCGGGGCCCTTTAGCTCTTGCTCAGCACTGCTCAGATCCCCTCTGAGGCTTCTCTTCTCCAGCTGAACAGCCCCAGGGCTCCCAGCCTGTCCTGGCACAGAGATTATTGTGTTGTCAGCAACTTCCTTCTCTTCCTGTTGCCTGTTGTCTGCTCTGCACATGGTTTGTCCTCCTGCTTCCAGCTTTAGGGAGGAGCAGCTGGGAGTTGTAGCTGAGCTGCAGACAGGGTTGCACTTTGTTGCAGGTAGGCAGTTGTGTTTGCTTACGTGGGAGACTGAGCTTGGGGTTTTTGAAGTTCAGGGAAGATGTGAAAGAGGTGAAGGAGGGAAAGCAAAAAAGGATATGTTTCAAATCAAAGCCTTTTGATGCTGAAATTGCCTAACTCAAACTCTTGTCTTCACACATCAGGGCTTAATGCTGATGGTGATTTACTTACACTTCCTAGTTAATAATTAGACATTGGGAGACACCATATATCACTCCTAATGGAATATATGGGGTCTGATGAGAGTTTTCTGTTTTGACTAATAAATTTTAACCAGAATCGCCAAGCTTAATGAAATATCACAGCCTCAGAAGTGTTTTAAGTCTTGTGCTGTGAAAACAGTGTTGCTTTATTCAGTAAATGGATTTATCATTCATTCTGTATCCGGAGCCCTAGCTGGCTCTGGAGCACGGGCTGAATGCAAGACTCTGAAATAGAAAGCAGAAAAACTAATCAAATCCTTAAAGACCAGAGGCAGCGAGGCAGGTCTAGAGTGACTTTTTCAGTGCTAGCCCCTGGCTACATCCACTTTTATTTTAGTAACCATTGTTAGCATGATTTATAACTTTAGCTTTAAGACGTACACTATTTAGATGTAATAAGATGCTTCACAGCTTTTATTTCTCTTTCCTAATTTCCCTCTTGTCACTGCTCTGTGTTTGCTTCCCCCCCATCTTTGTCTCCCTCCTCTCCCCAGCAGTGTCCCCAGTCCTGCAGCTGGCACTGCACTGGGAGAACGTTTCCCTGTCAGCCCCAAGGTCAACAAAACATCTCTGCCTCAACTGATGTCTGGTGGCCTAGTTAGTGCAGAGGAGAGCACTGTGTGCAGGGGTTATAGCCTCCTACTGCTGCCCAGAGCTCCCCCTGCCAATCCCACATGCAGATGGGGGGAAATGTCCCCCAGCAAGTAGTGGGACCCCTGCTGTCACCACGGGGTTCAGCTCCTTGCCCTTCACGGCCCTCCTGGGAGATGCTGCCTTGCCAGAAGGAGTGACCCTGTCCAGAGGATCCTGCCCCCCTCCCAAGTGCAGCCTTGGGAACGTGCCCCCGGAATGTGCCGTGTTGTAGCCGCGGTGGCCGTGGCTGGCAGGGCTTGGTGTGCTCCTTAGTCTGCTGATCTGGGGATTTGCTGGCCCCCCCAGGAAGAGCAGGTCCCGCTGAAAACATCTTGCTGCTTTGTGTGTGACTGTGCTCCTGTGCCTCTGCCATTGCTGCTCAGTGTTTCTTTCTGTGCTTCGTGCCAGGGAAGCAAGATAAGAGGAGACAGTAAACACACCTCATTGCCAGTACCACTGAGGGAACCCCTGAAACCTGGCTGCACCGTGTCTTGCTGCTGTTCAACCCTCCCTCCCACCTTGCTTTTGACAGAATATTGACTAGAAACCAAGATCCCATTTCTGCTTAGCCTTAAGGGCAGCTGTTTACAGAGCAGTGGTGTTACACAGGTTTACTGTGTCGTATGTCTGTGTAACACTGGATTTGGATCTTGTATTTAGCTGCCAGAAGTGACTGTGATGAAGTGGGAGAGATAAACTGATAGATCGTGTGCCAGAAAGATGTTGGGAATCAATCAGATAAACAGGGCAGAGAAGTAGCTTGCTGTTTTCTAGAGATAATAAGCCAGTGGCCTCTCCTCCTGGAATTTTTAAATGTAATTGCTGCAGTAATAACCTCCAGAAATAAGCGAGTAGAAAAAGTAGTCATGGCAGGTTTTTAATTATGCCTGAATCACTCTTTCTATTGTAATGTGATGTATGCCTTGAAAGAGAGGAAACAGATGGATGGGTATAAATATTTGTTGCTTGAGTGTCTCTTAGTTGAAAATAAAGAAGAGTTGTGAAATGATCCTCATATACCTTCATGGCATTTGCTTTTGTGGGGTGCATGACTTTTCCCTCCCTCACTCCCTCCCTTCACCTGGGCCAGGTGAAGTCTGTAGCCAGGACCAAGGCTGCTCCCCAAGCCCTGCTTTTCATGACTGTGCCTCAACTGACCATCACAGTCCAGCTCTCCTCCTTGAGCAAAGGTATGGGGTGGAGGACAAGCATCTCCCATCCTTTCTTCTCCAGCACCCCTGTGGAATTGCCTGGACTCTCTGGTTGCCATGTGGGGCTGTTCCAGCTGCTTTCTGAACCCAGGCTGTGACTTCACTAGTCAGTGAAATGCCAGCATCTAGAGAGTAGTCTGTGCCCCTTGGTTTGGGGGCTTTATTTCTGTTCTTTGTGTTAATATGTTGGCTAATACCCAAGGCACAGCATGTACAGTTTATGGCGAGTGGTGATAAACATACAGCACCAGTCAAGTATCCAAAAAGGCTGTTCACAATATTCTTGGGCTGCAGGAAGCAAAAAGGACGAAACCCAACCCTCAGGACATGAAAAGAAATAGAAAAGGCTGTTGGAGCACTCCTGCTCTGGCTATAAAAATGACTGTGCTGGGCTGTGTCTCGGGGCGAGCGTTGCTGCCCGGCAGCTTGACTCTGGTGAAGTGTCTCAGTTCCCCCCTGCCCTCCCCACTCAGGGGAGCTCTGGGGGGCAGAGGTCTTGCTGGACTCCTGCCTGTGCTGCCTCTCTCACCCATGGGAGCTGTGTACACAGCAGCTTGTCAGCACTGTGGCCCTTTTTATCCTTCCGAAGCCCAAGAACAGCACCAGTCTCTGAACTAGAAGCTTGTGGGAAATGTATGAGCCTGTTTGCATGAACATGTTTTTACTGTGCTTTAACTGGGATTGTTGTCTTCCTTCTAGCTCCTTCGAGAGTTTATAGAACGTAAAACCACTTCATGGGACCCCAATGACCAGGTGGCAATGGGCAGGTAAGGGGGAAGTTGCAACATCCAGTCCAGAAGTGCAAAACTACCTGTGGGCTTCCAACCCAGTTCATTGCAGAGGGCATGCTTTGGAATGCTTCTGGAGAGAGGTTCTGGGTGTAAGAAATGGTGTAACAAATGATTAGAACAGTGTGCTGGGAGGGAGGAAGGTCTGTAACACATCCCTTTGTTATGGATCATCCTGGCTCTGAGTTTGCCAGCCTGGAGCTGTGCCCTGGTGAGTCTGTGATACCCTAAAGGTACTTTCCAGTTGTCAAGAGGCTTTTATTCCAGACTTGGGATATTGCTGTCTCTCAGTGGCTGAGACAGCACAAAGGGAGTCCATAGAGGGGTGTCTTGAGTGACCCCATTGAGGGGGAAGTAGGCACAGTGACTGCCTGCTGCTGAAATTTGGCTTCTTGTCATTACAAGCTCTGATTTGCCATTGTTTTAGAGGAGCAAACCTTCTGTCATGGAATTAGTTAAAGCAATTCCTGGGTATACTGTCTCCCTGCTGTAAGAGAAGATACTGTACAATTAAAACAACATCAGGGAATGTTGCCTGCATGCAGAAATAAACTATAATTCCATGCAGGGAAGCTCTTACTTCTCTGTTTAATTCTACACTCAGAAAATAAAGAATCTTCCAAACAGCAGTTAATGAACAGTGCACATGTAAATAGCTGTGGGCTATAATTTAGGGAAGCTTAAAGCAGAGGAAGGCTGGAAATGCTGGAGTAGGGCTCTCCATGGCAGAAGTGCCAGTGGGGGAGCCCCCTGTGTGTGGGGTGGGGCAGAATATGCATTAGGAAATTTTGTGATGGTGAAACGAATTTATCCTTGTAAAATATTACCCAAATTTTAGTGCAATGTGTCAAATTTATTTTGTCTGTGTCTGGAATATTATGGAAAGCTATTCACTATAATTTAACATGATATAGACAAAATTACATTTAAGTGGTGATTACATTGTACATTTATCTGACTTTACAATAAAATAGATTACAGTAATTAAGATTATATTAAGATTGCAGTAATTGGATTTTGCTAGATTTTTTTCCCTGATGTTGAGTTTTCATTGTATAAATCAGGTAAGATGATGCTCATTTTTGTAAAAAAAAAAAGATATTTATAACTAGTAGAAGTTTCTCCCTGCTTAAAACTTCTTTGGCTTGATGAAGTTCTGTTTGAGGAGTTGAGTTCTCCCTTCTAGATACAGCCAGGGATCAGACAGCACCTTCTGAAAGAGTTTATTCCTTTTCTTTCTTTCATGGTTTTCTGTAGTAATAGTTGGAGCATTGTATAGGGCTTCTTGCTAGGTTTGCCAGGTTGAAGTCAGAGATGGTGGGGAGAAATATTTGCTTATAATTTTCAATACACTTTGCAAAACTGAGGGAGGAAATAAATTCAGAGCATCTCCTGCATCATGGTAATTCTGTTGATGAAGTTAGCATAGCCTGGCCTCGTGGAAAGAGTCCATTTAGGATGTGCCAGGTGATCCACCCTGTCACAGGCTTTCTATGCAAACCAGAAGTCATTCCAGGCATGAAGGCAGAAACAAAAGCAGCAGTACCTGTAAAAGCATATTGACAGATTTTAGCATTTTTATTTTGTAAAGATTTCATTTTTAAAGACAAAGACTGTTAAAAATAACTCCATAATCAAGAAAGGATGAAAAATGGAGCCAAGCTTGGCTCCAACAGGAGCAACACTGTTTAAATAGAACACTCTTGTGTTTTCTTCTCTGTGAAGCACACTGTGGGCACTTGAAGTTTCATACTTGTCTTCCTGAGGTTCTGCTCTCCTTCACTTGTGTAAATGCAATAGGTGGGAGGGCTGGGAAGGGCCTCAGACCCCACTGTACCTCGTGCTGATTTTCCTCCTGGCTCTAAAAGCTGTGAAACTGTCATTTTGCATTCCTCAGGCAATGGCTGGCCATCCAGAAGCTACGAAGAAAAATAAAGAAGAAAGTGGACAGAAAAGCCAGTAAAGGAAGGAGGATCCGGTGGGTAGCAGCTTCTGCAAGCAAGCAGAAGATCTGATTTTGCCAAGTAAAGTCTGGCTGCACTGGGTTGGCCCTGGGGTGCATTAGTTGGCTTATATATGTCTTTTAGGACAAGATGTCTTGCTCAGGGGCATCCACTGGGCAGTCTTATTGTCCTTTGAGCCTAGAAGAAGGGCTTGGTTGGGTGCAGCCTGTGGGCATTGGCCAGGTCAGTCTAGGCAAGTGTGATCATTGGTCTCACAGAACACTGGCAAGAGTTGTTCCAGTGTCCCTGAGTGATTTGGGGCCATAACTTCTAGTGCAAGCAAATAAACATCTCTTGTGCAGCAGATATTTAGCTGCCTAAACCATGGATAGCAGCTCTCAGAGGTGTGTAGAAAAGCCTCAGTGAGGTAGATGTTCTTTCCCACCAACTGTCCATTGGAATTTGGTGCCCAATATCTCTCATCTTTAAGTCTCATCGCAGCTTTCTTTAGCTTCAGAGCATTTCACATCCCAACTCGTGGCTCAGTATTTGGGGTTGATCTCTCCCGTTGTGTTTCCAGTGGGAGGGTGGAAGGGGAGGCAGGCAGGAGAGGACAGGGTTGGGTTTTTTCCCCCCTTTGCAGAGCATTAGTCTCCCCGAGTTGAGTGTGACTGGATGATTTGTGGTGGAGGAGGTGTCTGTGGCAGGGAGGCATGCTGAAGAGCTGCACTGCTTCCTGAAAAATCAGCAACATTAACCATCCTTTTGTGAGTAAACTATAAATCCTGAGTTTAGATGGCATCTGATGGAAAGTCAGCAGAGTCAGTCTGGGTCAGGCCTGCCATAGCAATTTTTAAGATAGATGTCATAAGATAATTTATTAAAAGAGGGAAGAGCTACTTTGTTGGCCTGAAAAGCCTATAATTATTGACTATCAATATTCTTTTCTGTCAGCATCACACATAATTGGATATATTCATGATTCAGTCAAAACTACTGACAACATCACACCACTGAGTCAGACTCGTAAACCTCCAGGAATAATGGGAAGTCTCATTGTGTGCAGCCTGTGCTTCAGCATTCCTGAGAGATCAGCTATCTCACCAAGGCAATTGCCTCTCAGATCTTAGGTGCCTTTTTTTTTCCTTCTTTAAATAAAAGTTGCACTGACCCTGCAGGGAAAATATCAATAAAAGAAGGAAGTGTCATTGTCTCCATTTAGTATTAACACACAGTTAAGCTCCAGCATCTTTTCCAAACAGTCCAGTAGAGCCCAAGTGGATGTTTTTAAATTGTTGGTTCTTTCACTGAGAGACTCAGTGTCACCCCAAGTAGATCACTTATCCTCTGTTCTTTTTCCTTCTTCAAAATTGGGGCAGCAGTGCTTAGACTCCTTTTTGTGAAGGACTTTGAGATCCTGGAGAGCAGAGTATTTAATACTGAGTTTCATTTGTTTCCATAATTCTTCTTTTTTAGCAATCCTTTATCAAACTTTCAATATTAGACCATGTTTGGATGAAATGTGCTAGTTTATTGTAGGGTCTGAGGATCTTCAAGTGCTTTCAAAAGTACTGATCTTCCACTTGACATGAGTACCTGTTGCCTTCACAGACAGGGAAATTGGGGCACTTAGAGGGGAAGTGAGCTCATCCAAAAACTCCACAGTTAAGCTTAAGAAACCTGGTGCCTAGAACTCTGCTGTCCCTCACCAAGCTGTCCCTTTTCTTGACATAGATACAGAGGAGTGATGGGCACACACCTATTCTTCATGTCAGTGATTTCTGGTCTCTGTGCTGCTGCATTCCTGTGAATGAAATGAAATATTTTATATCTGCTAGACTGAGATTTTTGAAGTCCTGATTTAAAAAATGTCCAGAACTAATTATTGTCACAAACAACTCGTGTCAGAGAATTTATCCAAACTGCTAAGTCCCCTTTCCACTAGTCAGCCTGTCCCTGTCAAAGCTTTGAGCTATGTGAATCCATCAGTGGCTAATGTCTCACAAGTGAACTATTTCATAGCCCAGCCTGTTGACCTGTTGTTGCAGTACTAGCCCTGTGTGGCTACATTCATTACAGCCTCAGACCAGGGCAGATGCTTCCATTAGAGGTGACAAAGACTTGATTGTGCAGAGAAGCCCTGGTGGAAGGGTGAGTGTGTGCTAGGCCTGAAGAGCTGTTCTGAAACAGTCTTGTGAGCCAAAAATCCCCTCCAGGGAATATCCCTGCATAAGCAAACGAAAGGGAGTGCAGAGGTTACAGAGTGGAAAGGTGATTCTGGGCAAATGCTTGTGAATCTTTTTGCCTGCTGTTTGTCAAGCTCTAAAAATAGCATCAGCCTGGATAAAAGCTTTCAGACTTGGGTAGGCAGCATGGTCATGTAGACCAAAAGCCATTGGTTTGGAGTCCCCTGCCCTTGCACACTGGGTTTAAAGCCCTTTTCATTCTGAGTTTTTCAGTACTATGTTTAATTTATGTCAGGACCTTGAATATAAGTCATGAAATCAGCTGCAATTTCCCAGCCCAGTGTGGAAAGTGGGAAGGGGATCCCTTATCTGGAGGTGCTGTACAGCTTGCAGCAATGCAGTGGTGGATCAGAAGCTGAGCCAGATGCAGCACTGGATCATCTTGGGTGTGCCCCAGCTCTTCTTTGCACAGGTCTTCTTCCTGTGTCCTTCACTAATATTTACATGCTTCACTTGTAGGTTACACAGGATGAGACTTCCCAGCTCTGGGCATGGCTGGCAGAGTGAGGCTTTGATCCTTTAGGGCCCTGGGTACCACAGAGCAAGGAGAAAGTGATAGCAGATGGATGCTTGAGGAGGTCTGGTGCTCTGACACTTCTGCTGCCTGCAGTGGGCTCTTTGGGCAGAAATGCCAGAAGGTGATTAAGACAGCAGCTGAAAAGGAGTTCTTGATTCTCTGTCTGACTTCTCAGGGTTGTCTGTCTCAGAGTCTGATTAGATACTCACACACAATTCATGGATGTTGCATGTCCTCTTCCTAGCTGTGTTAAAAAAGGGTTTGCTTGCTGTTCAGCCCATTGTATCTTCAGATTATTGTCCTGTCCATGTTATAAGAAAGGAGGAGGAGGGAAGGGAGGGGGAATTGCCAGCTACAACCAGTGGCTTACTAGATACCAGCCCCCAGGAAAGCCAACACTTTGCATCTCAGGGACTGGTGCATTTCTGTTCAAGCAGCAACATTTCCTTTTCATTAATAGTTACTAATGTGCTGCCTGCTTATTTCCTGCACTGTTCAGGTATCACGTCCATAGCAAGCTGGTGAGCTTCATGGCACCTATTGACCACTGTACAATGAATGATGATGCCAGGTGAGTAAGAGATTAATTATGTTTCTCAAATGGCTCCACGACAGCATGATATTGACCTGTTCTTCAGCCTGTCTCCCCCTCCATTCCTCCTTATCAGTTAACCATTTGTCACTGGCATCATAGCCTGGGTGTCTTGGTCACATCTGCCCAGGCAGGCTGGCTGAGCTTTCACTCTGTAATTGCTGTGACACCAAAGGAGAAATGTTCAGAAATCTCCCTACCTACATTTTAATCCCTGCTTTGAAACTCCTCCCATTTTGAAATCTAGTTTTATGACATTATTTTGGAAATAGGCAGCTAAGTATCTGCTGTCTTCAGGTATGACCAAAACTTCTAAAGAAATGTCTTTTAACAGAAGTGGCAATGTTTTAAATTCTCTTTAGTATGCATTTTCTTAAATCAGTTAATAACTGGAGTAGTTCAGTCAAGCTTCACTCCAGACCTAAATGTTACTTGTGTTTGTGTCTATTTAAAGAATGCAGAATTTTATTGGAAGACTAGAATGTTTTAATGTCCTAATTAGTAAAGAAAATATCAGAGAAGTTTTGTGCATAGCTGCTGGATAATTTTTCTACATCTGCATCCCTATTTCTTAAGTAAGGATTAAATTTTGAAACTAAATCTTGAAATGCTCAGAGTTTTGTGGAAAGGAGGTGAAATAATTTTTCTAGTGAACGAATGTAGGAGGCTTGAGAAACATCTTTCCCCTGGGTTGTGGAACATGTTTGTGCTGTGTGAGAAAGAGATGTCATTTGTCTGTTTGTGAAATGGAAACCAAATACCTGCTGTTCTTAGGCTGTTGCCTTTTGGGGTATTGCAGAGATTTCTGGATGACAGCTCTCCAGTAAGCTGGCACTCAGATGTTTTGTGCCCATAATAAGATCTGTGCTGTTTCATCATGCATCTTTCTCATACCTTTACTCTTTTTTTTTTCTTTAAAGTGAGAAAGTTGTGCTGATTGCTGAGTATTGTCTAGATCCCCTTGCCACAAAAATAAATGTGTATGGTGAAAGCTGTGCCTCCAGCCACATAAAATGGTCAGATCTTCCACCCCCTTACCTGGATGGTAGAAACAGAGGGACAGAAGTGGCTTGGGCACTGTGAGGTTAGATATATACACTTTCTGTCCATTTGGCAAAGAAATCAAGCACATGCTTGTGTCTGACATGCAGGGCCTGTGCTTCCCAGCTGGCAAGGACTCCTTGCCTGGAGTTGGTGTCTTTGCTGTTTTGAATAGCCCCAAACCAAACGTGGGGCAGGACAGACTCAAAGGGTCACACGATGCTGTAGAAATGGTGCTGGGATGTGCTGCTTCTTCCCCACCTCTTCTTGTCTGAGAGTAATTAGCAGTGTGTGTGTTTAGGAAAACCCAGTTCATCCCATGTGCATTAGTAATATGCATGACTCCAGTGTCTCCATCTTACTGTTATATCCAGTTGACTGGTTACTGCTTATGCTGTGAGAATGTCCAATGAGGTTGGGGAGGGGGATCTGTAATTTTTTGTGTATACCACATTTGTCCTACAGGTTAGGCCAACACACAGACCCCTGCTCCATCCCCAGAATGAACACAAGCTCAGCTTGCATGGGAGGGGATGTGAGGGAGAGGAAGGTGGGGAAAAAACCCAGTGAGACCAATTGTACTGATCTAGGAGTTAGCATACTGTGTTTGCTGTCCCCAGAGGTGACATTGCTTCCTCCTTTGCAGTCTATCATACTCACTTGTGTTCCAGAAATCACACAGAAAATGCATTCTGTAAGCCAGAATCTTGCAGGGAGTCAGTGTGAACATGAAGTACACCCAGAGAGCTGGGCCAGCAGTCTCTTCTGCACAGCAGCCTCCTTGGGCCTCAGCTACACTTATCTGCCTGCTGTCTTCATCACCCTTACTCCTCTCGCTTCTCAGGAGGCACCTTGAGTGCACCAGGAGCTGCAGGGGGCCTGGCTGACCCTCAGGAGCTGTTCCAGCTCATCGGGTGCCATCTAGGTTGTGCTGTGTCAACACAGTTATCCCTGTGGTAGGGACAGAGTGTTTGACATTGGGTTTACTGAAAACATAGAATCATAGAATCCTTGAGGTTGGAAGGGACCTTCAAGATCATCAAGTCCAACCATTGAGCCATTAGGGCTCTAAAGTCCTCTGCTAAAACAGATCAGAATCTGTCAGGGCTGGAAGGGACCACAAGGATCCCCCAGTTCCAACCCCTCTGCCATGAGCAGGGACACCTCCCACTAGATCAGGCTGCCCAGAGCCTCCTCCAGCCTGGCCTTAAAGACCCCCAGGGATGGGGCCTCAACCACCTCCCTGGGCAACCCATTCCAGGGTCTCACCACTCTCATGGGGAAGAACTTCTTCCTCACATCCAGCCTGAATCTGCCCACTGCCAGCTTTGGCTTTTCTCCACATGGAGCAGGTTATGACATCACTTGCATGTTTTACTGAGCCTTTGGTGGCTGCAGTGTGGCAGCAGCTGCTGCTGCTTAGTGGCTGCCTGCAGGAACTTATCCCTTCCATGAAGTTTATTAGGCACTCTGGAGGCCCACCATACTTCTGGGGATGGCATGTTGGTCCCTCACCTCCTCGTGCTGCTTCAGCCGTCCAGAGCGAGACCTGGGCGATGTGCTGGCACAGGGTGAGGGCAGCTCTGCCCTGTTCTGCCCACATCAGGCTTTCCAGCAGCCCCTGGCCGTGGTGGGGCAGTGCTGGAATCAGCCTGGGCAGGCTCTGTTCCTGGCTCTTCATGGATGACCTCAAGCAGGTCGCTCTGGGTTTTGGGGACTCTGATTCCCCTCCTGTGTGATGGAGAGCTGCTGTTGAGAAGGGTCTGTAAAAAACAGTGGGTTAGTAATCACAGAGAATGGCTGGGGTTGGAAGAGACCTCTGGAGATCATCTAGTCCAGCCCCCCTGCTAAAGCAGTAGTGGTGCAGTCATAGGAAAGCTTTTGTTTCAGCCAAGACAGACACACAAGCCTCAGCTTTCCTCTGTGGTGGCCAAAGTGCCTGCTGGTTACCTGGGACACGAAGAACCTGCCTCACCTTCACCTACTGCAGGTGTTACAGTCTCCCTTAAGCAGTTTCTCTGCAGCTTCCTCCCCGTGGGATGTGCTGTGGCATTGTCTAGTCCTAACGTTGAGCTTCATTTTCCCTCTGCTGTAATTTAGGCCTATTATTTCTTGTCCTGTTCAACGTGGGCTTTAAGAACAGGCTTGTTTCCTCTTTGCAGCAGCCCTTCCACATTTGGGTGGATGTCTTAACTTTGCACACTGAAAACCTGGCCATTCTTCAGCTTATTTTTCTTCCTGGTTTACACCATTTGTTTGCATCCAGACATAAAACCCCTTCACAATATTGGAGTGGCCAGTGTCTGAAAATTCAGACACTCTATAGCTGTTTTGGTTCAACTCTCCCAAAATGAAGATACCTGCTGCTGACAGTCATTTTTTTTTAAAAATGAGTAGCCCCTCTCTAGGGTCACTTCACATCCCAGTTTAAAATGCCTCTGCACTTGCCATGGGCCATCATAGCTTTGTAGCAGCACATAGGCAAGAAGAATTCAACATGTGCTTCAAACTGCAGGTGAATTAACAGGAGAGGACCAGGCCTGGCTGCATGAGAGGGGAGCAGTCATGATAACAGCTTTCCTTTGGGACAGAGGAAGGTGATTTTATTGTTTGCAAGTATGAATTACTAGATTGAAAATGCAAGTATACACTTCACAGTGATGTGATCATGCTCTGAGACATCTTTTTTTTCTCTTCTGATCAGGCACTTCAAAGGCATGACCTCAAAATAAATACACATCTGAACAACTGGGTGCTCTGTGTTGCAGTGTGAGGAATTTAAGGTGTCAGTGAGCTGTACATAAAAAAAGAATTGTGGAAACAGAGCTGGCAGAATATTCCCATGAAGTTCTACTGGTAGGGAGATACCTGGAACATGCCAGTAAACCACAGAATTGTAGAATGATTTGGGTGGGAAGGGACCTTTAAAGGTCACCTAGTCCAACTCCCCTGCACTCAGCAGGGACAGCTCCAGCTAGAGCAGTTTGCTCAGAGCACTGGCCAGCCTGACCTGGAATGGTTCCAGGGATGGAGCATCTACCACCTCTCTGGGCAACCTGGGCCAGCATCCTAGCATCCTTAGTGCAAAAAATGTCTTCTTTTATATCTAGTCTGGAAGAAATGAATAAATATCTAGTCTAAATAAATGTGTATGTGTAGCTGTGGGTGGGCAGAAGCTTGGGTGGCTGGCTTAGAGACTGGGGGTGCCAGTGGTGGAGTAATTCAGGTTCTTCCTTGTGCCAGGTCCTCACTCCTCACGAGGAGCTGCACAAGCCCTGTGTCACAGGGGACAAGCAGAGGTGGGTTGGCTGTGGCTGTTTGTTGACTGTGACTTTTGGCTTGCTGTAGGTGCCTCTGGAGTCCCAGCTGTGTCTCACTGTCATGCTGGGCTGGTTTCTCTCCATTTAAATAGCTAAGGCAGCCTAGGAAGACGTTTGGGGCCTGGGTCTCCTGGACATTTAAGCCAGTTTACACTACTCTGGCTGTGCAGAGAGAACTTAAAATACTGCAGTGACCTGCTAGCACTCACCTGAAGGAGCTGGTGTGCTGTGGGGTGCCCAGAACTACTGAGGATCTGACACCTCAAGTTTATCACTTGCCATTTCCAAACAAAGAGCAAACGTGTGTGAGGAGAAGCAGCCTGAGCAGTGCCTGGAGAGGGGACAACAGTCACTCCAGAATTGTTTTACAGCCTGAACTTGGGAAAAGAAGCATACAAGTATAATAACAGCCTTTGTCAACATCACTGCCACTTTCTTTCTTATTCTTGCTGCTGGTTGGAATAATAGCAGTCGTGCAGGCAATTAATCTTCCACTTGCCAGCTTTCCATGCACCCTACGCATGGGCACGGCTGTTTAACCTTGTGCTCACATATATTATCCTGTAATGTGTGGGACACTGGTGGCCTCGAGCCCTCCTCTGTTTTAACCCCTCTTTGGTAG